GGCTGCCGAGCGGCCCGGGACAGCGCCGGCCCGAGGATGGACGCGGCCCTGTCACCGCACCTGACCACATTAAAGTCTCATTTGCACACTCTACACTGTGCATGTGCTGCTCTCTCCACACTCCGCTCTGAAAAATTTACTATTGCAGCCAGATTTGGTGCAGCAAATATACACGGGTTTTTCCTACTATAATGTAGGTACGGAACCATTCCAGGAGGCACATATGGCTTTTCCCAAAGACATGTTACTAGCTCTGGCGTATTGCTTTCTGCAGCAATGGCATGACTACTGCCAGCTTCCATTTGCCTGCTGCACTCATTGAGCGTTTTGACTCCTGGCTCTGATTCACTACAATGCAACAGTCCAGCGGTCCAGGAGAGGCCTGGCGCAGACAAATGCAAATGGCACTGCAGCTGCGTTTCCGTTTAGTTTCTCCAGAGAGGTTGTGGGCTTATTCGTTCATTTACAAGCAGAAGGGAAAGATTTCAGTCTCGGGTAAAGAGGGAGTGGGGTTTGCATGAAGTGAGATACGAATCTTGCTACTCCATCACATATTTGACTCTATCCTGAGAAGCAAGAAACCCACTGAAGTCCCTCTCCTACCTTAGATGCGCCTCTTGCTTTTTGGGGTTTCCTTTGGCACAACTCTTACATGAGTCTACAAAGGTCAGGCAAAGACAAGTTTTCAGTTTTGCATCCCAATAAGGCTTGTAGCATAACCGCCCCAATAGAGGAAGAATAGACAAAACACTCTAAGAAAGGGGCTGCTTTTAACAAAATCACAATAATGAGGATGGGTGGGTTTATTTCTGCTTACGGATGAAAGATTACAGTAAATGATTAAAAAAACCTATTCTTTGAAGTGGATGAGGCTGTGAAAGGTGGTATTGTTTTTCTAATACCTCCCCCTTCTGCCATATATTTGGTATGTTTGGAGTCACCTTTTATATAAAATGGTGACTGTACTCTGGTACAGGGTTTCTAGGAAGGTCCTCTCTAGCTTACTCTAGATTTCCTTGCTTCAAAAGTAAAGGTTTGCATCTGCACTGTTCTTCCTATTGTAATATGAAGGTACCACACAGCTCTCCCTTTCTGGAGCTTTCTGCTTCAAACACAAGAAGGTAGGTCTGTAAGGTTTCTTTTGAGCCAGTTTCGTGGAGGCCTGGTTTTTTTTCCCTATTAAAAAAAAAATACTACTTCGTTATTAAATAAAGGATCCCACAATCATACACAAGGCAATAAAGCAAGTTGCTTTCACATCCTTTTGAATCCTAAAGTGCTATGGGGGTGCTCTGTAATGCAATAGGGTGAGTGACTATTAGCATCAGACACTACTGTTGCAAGACAAAGTAATAACAGCAGATAAATGAAGGACGTACCGAGAGGAGAGTCCAGCAGCGCTGAGGTCATGCTTTCCGCGGTGGCTCCTCAGCTTTCCTCTTGCCCTGCCTATTGTCTTAAGTCCCCTGCTAAGGCATCTGCTACACTGAGAAACAACATGCAACTGATTGGAGGGGACTTATGGAAAACAGTGTGTTTCTCCTCACCTAACTCCGTCTTTGTTGTCCATGCAAGTGGTGGGCCTGTTTTTTCTTGCGGACCAAACGAATGACTTTTTCAGGGTTCCTAAATTGTTGCATGTGCATCAGAAGAATAATAATTTATGCAACAATGCACAGCCTCTGGGCCACAGTAAACTCGGCCTGCCACAGAAGCAGTGGATTTTTCTGTGCAGATGCAGAGTACTGTGCACCAGTACAGGACAGCTCAAGCTTTAAAAAAAAAAGAAAAAAATTGGCAGACCGAGCTTATGAAGCATAATTCTCAGCTGCTGTGATGCTGTCAGCGGGTGAAGGCTGCGAACAAATTACAATGAGCAATTCTGTTATCTTGCAAATGGCGAGAGGTGCAGTGCTGGAAAAAGGGTATGGCTTAGGCCTCCTGGAGTTTGCTAGAGAAAACCAGTAGCAGTTAGCTATGAGCACTGAACGCCATTTATGCTTTGGGCTGAACCCGCCTTTCAAGAGATTAGTTGATACTTTCCTTTGGAGCCATGACGACCTGTTGCTTAAGGGGGCTGTAAATAGTAATGTAACATATAGGGATCTAGGTTCAAGAGTATGTGTTACTGTAGACGCTGTGCTAAATACTCTCTCTAGAGCAAGGCCTAGGGCAAAAGGAGCAAGAATTTTCCTTTCTTGGCAGGAAGAAGCTATTAAACTTCTTCAGCTATATTGTCACCTTCCCCTCTTCCCCCAAAAGTTGTGTGGGCTGAAAAAAATAACTGCATACAAGGAGCGAGCATAAGCCAGAAGCAGAGTGGAGTATCATCAGGCTGATGCACAGCAAAAGCTAGGCTTGAAGAAAGCTACAGATGAAGCTCGCATCTCTAGCGTAGCAATTCTTCATAACATTTGACAGCAATACTGTTAAATTCCTCATTGTTTAAGTAGCTCTCGTAAGCTTGGTTAGCACTATACTCACACAAACCAAAATCTTCATTTCTGCTCTGACGCTGTGATTTCCTCTGTTGGCTGTTCCATTGGCTATTGCAACAAAATTTGTTATCGTGTGTTCGAGAAAGCTATCACTGGATCCTAGAAAAAGCAAAAACAAAACAAACAAACAAAAAAGCTTACATACAGCTTATATACGTGGTGAATACTGCATCATCCCCATTGCAGACTGCTCCTCAGTCTGCAGACTGCTACTCCGTGCATAAGTCACATTTGAACTCATCTGATTAACGTTACTCATTGACCGCTTTCTTCCTGCTCCCGGTATACTTCTGTTTTCCATACACCAGGCAAGCTGATGAAGCAGTCTCCCCTTTGTTTACTGTTAACTATTAGCGCTATTTGGGTATTGGACTATGCTGTTGCCTTTCAGATCTAAAGTAAAACTCCTTGGCTACCACTGTGGGTGGGGACATTAGGCAGCAAGCTGCATACACCAAAAATTCTCATTATTCCATGCATTTACCATTTCTGCGTAGGATATATGAGAAAGAGAAAGCATGCTGGCAAGGCTTTTAACAGGAAGAACTCCTTGTACAGTGTAGAACACTGTCTTCCCAGAACCTTCAAACCTGTTAAGACACCATGGATGGCAATACCAAGAAAACTAAGGATTCTAGTAAAAGACCTCTAGTCTATCCCGGCACTGCTGCCCTACAGCTTTTGCTGTTGTCTTGGGTGTTGCAGCCTGAAATTTGCCACCCTAAATGCAGGCCCACTTTCACTAGCACCTTCCCTTCCACTGACCCTGCTACAGCAGCAGCAGCGTGGGGCAGAGGAACAGCAATGGAAAGTTGGTGCAGCCATTTCCTTAGTGAACATCAACAAAAACCTTCCCAGCAGAAAAGCTAGGCTAAATGAATCACGATGTCTTAACAACCAGACGTATGGAAAATGTCAATTTAGATAAATTAAACGGATGCTGCAGATCTCCCTTGGCATTTCAGCTCCAGTAGTCATAGAATTCTCAAGATGTTTATTGTACTTAATGCAATCCATTGGGTGTTGTTATGGTAATGGCAGCTAAGTCTCTCGCTAAGGCCGTCTTCTAGTCTGAGGGAGGGAGAACATACATGAAGAAAGCCACTTTTTACCGGAAGACAAATTCTTTTTTAAATAAAATTAAGTGCATCTCCTATAGAGTACAAGATGACTAACTACTTGTTAGTAGAAAATAAATTGTCTAGACAACTTTTTCCAAATAGTTCCCAATATAGCATTTCTTTTTTTATATATAGTCATGTGATTTTATTTTATTTGAGTCTTGAAAAGACTTATTTTCTTCATTCAAAGATACAGCAGAAATTCCAAAATCATTAGGTTGTCTTTTTTGAGAGACACGGCAGAGGTTGAGTCAACTGCAGACACGCTGAAATGGTTACAGCCAGCTTAATTACAAACATGAGACAATCGATTAGGTACTTTCTTTGTCCCTCTCCCCATTTTCCCTACTTCTGTACATGTGTTATAAATACATTTATGAACATCCACAAATAATTGCCATGAAGCAACCTTTAATGATAAGGACTTAATCAAAGTTAACCTTTAGGCACTGCTGAAGAGATTAAACTACAGCACGGCATAAAATCACTTTCCTGCCTAAACTCATGCATCTTACTTCTAAACAGCAGCTTGCAGATTTAGACACAATATTTGAAGCATTTTGATTCCAAAAGGTAAACATCACTTTGCAGCTCACAGTTCAATAGTAACCACATACAGTAATTTCTGTAAAACACAGAATGTATGACAAAGGAAGAGAATAAGCAAGTAAGCAATGCCTCTTTTTTAAGTTATTTCTATGGATTTGGTGTGACTTCCAACTCTGCATGATGGTGGCAGGCTCTGGGTTTTTTCCAGACACCACAATATTGCTCTAAGCCCCAAATTAACATACATCGATGTTGACTTAAAAGTACTATGTGTGTAAACACTACATAAATACATATGCAAAATAAAGTTCATATCCCATAAAATAGAAAATGTAATATATATTCTATTAGGCAATGCATACAGGCATAGCAATAGTTTTATAACTATATAAATGTATTTCATAAAATTATTTACAGATGGAAGCAGGAACAAACATTACCATCAAATACATTGATTTCATCAATTCTATGAGTCTTTTGAAGATCCTCACTTGCAACAAAATGATCTGCAACTCCAGCTACTTAGAAAAGGAAAGTGCTCATGATCCATTTAGTGCAATAATGCTGGCTACAAAACTTAAGAGGAGAAAACATTTTAAGAACTAGTACCGCATTAGCTAGTAGGACCAAAAAAAACCCCACATTTTTTACTTTAAAAGTTTGAAAAGGAAAGGAAGGAAATTAAGGTTACACAGTGGGCCAACAAGAAAAGAAAAATTCTCCAAAGTCAAGTCTTTAGATTGTCAGAAATCAGAAGCGCCAAATGTACAGTTTCTCATGCTATTTTGTTCCATCTTCATCCTGAACATTCTTGGAGACAGCTGTCCCATAATCAAGGAAATAGCACGTCACAGGTATTCCTGCAGATATGATACTACATAAGCCCAAAGAAAGAAAAGAAAGATGAATAGACTCATCAATGTGACAGTCCTTTACCTCTGAATGCTTGACTCCATAACTTCAGTAGTGTTCCTCCATTTAAATAAATACTGAGTAGCATGAAACTTGCTTCTCAAATTAAAAAAAGTAATACTCGGGGACAGACGATAAAGTAAACTCAGGGATGGATGATAAAAATGAGAGGTTCTTACAAGTTGTGCATTATGCTTTCAGCTATAGTAAGCCACAACAGCTAAAGATTACACAAGTTATTTCTTCTTGGTATCATAGATCAAGCATCAGAATAAAGTTAGGTTAACAGTCAAGTACAACTCATTCAAAAGGAGTGACGCCCCCAGAGAAAACCCTACTTCTGGACCTAAAGACCAGGTGAGCAAAAATAACCTCTACAGGGATGCCATGCACAGCACATGTAAACACCAAAATGCCCATCAGCCTTCATAAACCTTGGCTGCCTACCCAAATACGGAGGCAGGCTGACAGAAATCCTAGAAACAGTTTTATTTCTGTTTTCATCTTTGCTCTCAAGACTTAAAAGACTCCTGGGCTTAACTGGAACTTGTACAAGATCTCACACATTTACCACCTTCCAAAATCAGAATAATTAAGAATTCTCACAGATAATGAAACCCAAAGCCCTTTTACTAGTTTCAGTGAGATATGGAAGATGCAGCTCTATCTGACAAGTACTTAATCACTGATCCCCATGCAGATTTTAAAACGTCACAAGGTACAACTATGAAAAACAAGGACAATGTACTTAACATGGATTATTTTTCTGAAATTCTCAACTTAACTTTGAGAGTAAGCTTCTACCCAAAAGAAGCTGACCCAAGAAGACCCTTCTCCCCAAAGCTGGGTTACGGACAACTGCCCATCCTCCTGCTAAGTCATCACAAGCCCTCGTAGTCTTAGTTAAAAGCCTAATGTGGAAGGAAATACACATGTATTGGCAACCATCACTGTGGACCACAGCCAGAACCTACAGAGCAGGGTTTGGGAGCCAGGCCGCTGCGGTTTCACCCCACAGTGGCTTCTTGGAGCAGTTCTGCTGGTGGGAGCTCTGCGCACCCAGGAGCCCGGCCGTGGCACTTGACAAAGTACTTATGCCAGCCAAGCAAGACTAGTTGCTCTCAGCCCTTCCAGAGTTTTGAAAAGCACCCTCCAGAGCCAGGCCTACTGGGGGCAGAGGCCGGGACCCGCAGGTTGGCCCCGCCGCTCCTCAAGGCCTCATGGGAGTCACTGCTGCCCTTGGAGACGGAAGACCAGGCTGCTCTGCCTGGCTGTGAAATGGCACCTTCTGCCCACAAAGCTGGCGGAGCGCCACGGCCCCAGTGCTCCCACAGTGGCAGTGCCCGCAGCAGCGTGTGCAGCCCTGCAGCTTGCTGCCACCCAAGATTGTGGTTACCCTGCCTGGGCACCAGACTTCTGGGTCCCCTGCCTCAGGCCGGACAATGCCACTTGTCCCCCTGGGAATGATGGCACCGCGGGGCAGCTGCGGGAGTGGCCCCACACTGACATCACCGCTTCCTCTTGCTGTGGCCCTGGGGGCACAGATGAGCCTTTGCCACCTCAGGGGAAGGATAAGTGGGTGCTGGGTGCTGCCAACTCACCCCTCACTCTCCCACGGGCAGGGGAAAGCTCAGCGAAGCCAGTGCAGACCTTCTCACCATTTGCCATGCCCACTGCTGCCGTCCCTGGGGTGCATGAGCCCACCACGCCATGATGGGGAGGCCGAGGGCGACGCAATGAGGCAGCGGAGGCTGTGGCGGCTTCTCCCATTTATTCATTCCGTGCACGGGGCAAGAGCGGGCGCTGCTCCTCAGTGGGTGGCAGCTCCTCGGTGGCCGGCGACTCGTAGGTGACACAGAGGGAGGAGAAGAGACAGCCCAGGAAGGACACCAGGCTGGCGAAGTACATGGCACCGCTGGCGCTGCCCACAGCTGCCGTCAGCGGCCCCATGGCCAGGGCCACAAGGATCTGTGCCAGGAAGTACTGGCAGCTCAGCAGGGAGATGTCAACGCCCATCCCGCGCCGCGTGCCCTCCGCCTGCGAGCCTACAAACTGCGGGGGACACAGTGTAAGGGGGCGCCGCAGGAGCCCCTCTCCCCTCCCTGGCCCGGGGCTCACCTCACGGCTCTGGTAGTAGTCGCAGAGCAGGGAGTAGGGCAGCGTGCAGAGCGTGGCGAAGAGGATGCCGTAGGTAGCACACAGTGACAGCACCACATAGATGTTTCTGGAGAGCGTGGCCAGCCCTGTGCCCAGCCCGAAGGCCAAATATGCCACAAAGTACAGCGTCCGTGTGCTGAACCGCTCCTCCAGCTTCTCCAGCGCGGCTGCAAGACAATGACATGGCATTCGGGATGAACTGCAGCCCTCCCTGCTGCCAGCCGGTCAGCGGACCCAAGGGGTGCACCTTCAGGCCCTGCAGCCCAGCCATTAGGCAGCCACATCTCAGTGGTAACCATTATGCCTTTGAGTAACTGGTGGCTCGCACGTGAGCGCCAAGGACCCCTTCCAAATCCCACTGCCACAATGCAGCCTTGCTACCCTACCTGTGTGGAGAGCACAGCAGAGCTGAAGCCTGGCAGTGCCCCCTGTCCTGGAGGGGTAAATGGGAACTGCTGGGGGTGGGGAAGGGGGGGCGGACACAACACACACGACAAGGTGCTGGGGTGGTGTGTGACACCAGGGCGCTCTGCCGGGGGCACACGGGCACTGAGTGCTGCTACGACAGAATTGTGCCTATGGTGGCTGCATGTATTTCTGGATTCAACGTACATTGAAAATGCCACTTGTGAAAGAAACTATGTACTAACAGAGATGTGTTTTCACTGGACTGCTGACCTCATCTGCTGTCAGTGCAGGCCAAGCTAACTAGAAGAGATAATATGGTGAAAAAGAATACTCTGCTTCAGCACTCGTGCCATGTGGTAGGCTACGTGCAACATAAATGCCGGACTACTTGTTGCAGAAACACTGCTTAAGGAGCAGGTGCATCTTTCTCACAGCAGTGGCTAAGATGGCTGTACTAAGTACCTGAATAGAAGGCAGCACTGAATGCATAGATGCACATTCCCCAGCAGCCCATGGTGACCCCAGCGTTGTACTTCTGATACTCATCTGAGTTGTGAGGTGCTTTTGGATTCCCTTGAAACACTACCTCTCCCATGAAGTCGGTATAGAAGAGTAACATCCCCTCAAATGAAAGCCATCCTGAAAGAAGCCAGAAGTAACCTATTAGGATTGCAGAGTATCTGTTTCCCCTTGTAAACTTACATGGATGCTATTAGCTATATTACAAATCACAACCGAAGACAGGTTGCGCAACGTGAGTATTACATAACATTCAGCCACATTTATCTAGACTGCTGTTCCCCGTGCATTATGCTACAATGTTTGTCAAAGATGTTCAGGATTTTAAAGACCAAGATTTATCCTTTGAATTCTTAAGTGGAATCCTAGAGGCTGACTGCAGGCCACAGAATACTGGTTTAGCAAGACAGAAAAATACATTACAGCAGTCTGAGCTGCTTTCAGGTTTTGACAGAACACAACGCTTGGTTTCACAGCGTGGCTCATCATGTAGAAGTTTCAGGTTGCTGTTGTCCTCCCACACAGAACTGGAAGGAGTGCTTCTTATGTCATGGTTGCAGCCTCTAGAGCACCTCCGACACAGTTAAAAACTCCCACTCACAAACCGGCATCAGTGCCACTGATGCAGGCAATCTCTTAATTCTTTTCACAGCCAATTAATATTAACTACCTGTTACGTTCTGTCCAATTTTGTGTAAACTGGATTGCTTGCAAGCCCCTCCTAACCATCAGTCACACATCGGTAAGAGTAAAGGTAACAGTGCACTGGTTACAGGCACTCCTGCAGTGTCCGTACCTCTTCACGGCCTGTTCTGGGACCCCTATACACATGCTGTCAAAGGGAGGAAAGGGAATGCCGGTCTCAGGTGTAAGCAGGGAAATACAACTAATCTCATCTTTCTGCTCCGTAATGCCAGTTTCAGAGCATTAAAAAAAAAAAACAGAACAGGTTGATAGTTTCAAGTTCTTGGTTCAGTGGCGTTTCTCATCCCGGTGTAAACATCCCATTTAACGGATGCGCTGATTTAGGCTGTTGTTATTCCCTTTCTAGGAATGTAGGCTTTACTGTTTTGTTTTTGTTTTTTTTTTTCCTTTCTCAGTATTCTAAGAAACTAAATACCAGAAAGTACCTTATTGGTGAGTGTGTATGGAACAAATCACATCCTCTCTAGTTAGCAGCCATTGCAGCAATAGATAAAATATTCTAAAACATTCACCCGAGGTAGACTACTTCATGGTGAAAGCAAGATGGCACTTTCTGAATACCTAGGAAGTGGTTGATGCAGAGGTTACGAAGAGCCTTGGGCATCTGGCAGACGGTCGAACAAAGGAGCTTCATGGAGAGTGGTTGCTCAGAGGTCTCGCCTGATCCATTCAGCTCGCTCTCATACTTAACACCATTCAGCAAGATATTAGCAACCTGCACCATAAGAACTCCCAGGTCAACAAACACAGTAAGAAAAACCCCAACATCCTTTGAGCAAACCTATGCAATATTACACACCTATCTGATAATCTGAAAGTTAAACTCTGCTGCTGCAGTATGTTGACTTGGAGAGTAAGAACAGTGTATTTAGTGAAGCTGTAAGTTCAGCCTTGGAAGAAGTGTTAAATGGCAGCACTACGCTGCAGCCTGAAACAGTACTCTTCACTTGACTAGGGTGTTTGGCAACCACATCCAGATGCTAGCGTAGGGAAGGCATAAATTCCATTGCATTTAATAGGAGCTGTACCCACATTCAGGTGAATTTGGTTCTTGAAGTTTTAGAGACATCGAGGAAGAAGAGGCCGGTTTTAATCGAAACACATTCTCATTGCTTGCTAACCTTGATGCTCGATCTCTACGTGCACGGTATGTAAAATCCTGGCCCTAACAAAGTCTGCTCTCACAAACTGGGTCAAAGTACAGCAACAGCAACAAACAAACCAACCAAACCAAACCAAACCAAACAAAAAAAACCACCCACCCACCCCCCAAAAAAAACCAAACCAAAGCAAAAAAACCCCAAACAAAAAACAACCAACAGAGGACAGTTTACCTCATCCCGGATCATAAAAAAATGGGCCAGCATACAGAGGTCTCAGACATTCCAAGTTATCACCAACAGTGGGAGGTGAGGTCAGAGTCTTATCCCTGGGTAAGGGAAACCTCACCTCCCTGATGGAACCAGATGTAATGACTGCCATAAGGAGAAGCTCATGGGAGAATCCTATCCCTGGCCCTATCTTGCAGGTATTTCTGTGGAAAGGGAAGATACAGGCTCAATAAAAATGTGTCTTTTTCTGCTCTCACGTGGTAGCTCCCTGGGTGGTGAAGCAGAGCTAAAAATACCAACCTAACTTTCACACGTGGCCCAGTGAGAGCGGAACGCTCCCATTTCTGCCATCTTATCAAAGGCAGTTGCCAGTCATAATTCACATCCTACCCACTATTTTACCGATAAAGTCATAGCAGGTATGCTGTTCCCATAATGACTTTTATGAGCAAACTGTCACGAGCAGTGTTTAACGATGAATTTGTGCGCCACACGTTTAAAATTATATGAAGAGATTAAATGAATGCTCAGGTTTACATGGTCATATAATTGTTTTTCTGCCCTTACCTGTTGGCTGAAGGTTACATTTCTTCTTCTGCTATTTTCTGGACAGTGTCCTGTTACGATATCTGGAATGGCCAAGGTCTGAGGTCTTTTCAGGATCCCCGACGACTGTGGCTTTATCGCATCCAGTGAGCCCACCCTTAGCGCCTCGCCATCAGGCCCTGGCATTATGCTGCTTTCCCCTTGCTCCAGAACTCCATTTTCTCCTTGGTAACAGCCATCAGGCACCCGAGGAAAGCTGACACTGACAGGCTGCCTGGGCAAGCTAGCTGGAAGTGCTAAATAACTATTGTGCCCGCCTGTAAAACAGTCTATAAGCACACTGTCAATATTAGAAGTCCCAAATGATGATGCAAACTCATTAATTCCCATCAAGGAATTGTCTCTGCTGACAAAACTGCCATATTTGGGTGTGAGTGGGCTCAGAGGGGAAACAGGACTCGTAAAACTTGCATATAAGCGAGCTGAGTTATGAGAAGCAAAGTTTTCATTTACACCCTCCTCAAAGAAGAGAGGTGGAGAAGGAGGGAGAGGAAGACTTGGACTCTTCATCACCTTTTTCTTCCTGCTAAAGGACCTTAAGGGTCTTTCTGGAATGCTAATTAGAGTCAGCACAGTAGTGACAGTCAGTATAACTGAGGTGAAGACATAGATGACGCGAAGCTGCCCTCCCACAGCTTTTCCAAAACTGGTTTTATCCCAGTGTATTCCTCCAACAACATAACCAAAGCCACCTCCAAGACCTGGTGGAAAAACAGAGCTAAGATTATCTTCCCTAGCCAATCCTGGAAGTCCGTAGCAGCACAGCACCATTTGTCTAATGATTCGTCAGTAGAATCTGACGTGTTACTTCTGGTTTACTACTCAACCCCTTTTCAAATCAAATGCAGGAATAAACACAGTTATCTGCGCCACAAGGACAGTCTGGATGTACAAACATGGTACAGAAAGAGGGAGAAGGTCAGTGCTGTAAAAGTGATGATACAAATAACTAAAAATGGTAGTTCTTTCTTTGCCAAGAACAAACCATTTTACCTTCAGCTATTTCAGTCCGTAAAACAGAAGTGTCCACCAGCCTCGTGGCAAGGCTCTGCAATCAGTCAGCTAAGACTGTTTTCCTGAAAGTAAGTGAAAATCCATTTTCCTCACTCAGTTAGAGGAACGCAGATCTAACTGCATCCAAGACAGACCGAATCACTTCAGAAGTGTACCAAGCTCATTACCCAGCGAACAAAACTGCTACTGCATTACTACCGATGAACAGGGAAGTTCTGAGGGCACCAGATACCTCTCTCACTCCATTCACATGGTGAAAGCCTTATGACACTATCCTTTCTTTCTTACAAACACATTCAAGAGCGTGAAACAGTCTCCTGATGGAGAGGAAAACTAGGCTAGGGTAGTACAGCAATTGAAGACGGCAGCAATAAGGGATCATAGCGCCCAGTATGCACTTTCCCCTCCAACAGAGTGACTAAAAAAGGCATTTTCCACACCTGCAGGAAGCCAAACCTCCTCCCTCAAGGGATAATTTTGTTTCCATAGGTGTTATAAATGATGTGAGGGACCTTCAGATGAACAACCCAGGACTGTGTCTTGTTTGACTTTTGGTAGTTACAAAAGCCTTTTGCAGTGAGCAGAAGTTCGTTTTCGAAGTTAATTAGCACTACCTCTCCAGGTATTCATTTATTATGCTTATACAAGAAAAGATCAGTGATTTACACTCTGTTTTCTCACATCAGGGGTTGTTTACTTAGGGTTCACATCACCCAGGAAGGACCAAGAAAGCATACCTGCTAACAAAGCGTGGATGTTGAGGCCCCTGTCTTGATCCACTGGGCTGCATACATCCATCATGTAGGCATGACTGGGATTGTCTGCTGAATCTGCGCTGAAGTCCATGAGGACAACACCACAGACCGTAAGAATGATCCCCCATTTGTGGTTATTTGCAGCGTCAGACAAGGCACTCCCTATATCTTTGCCATTCAGCATAAGTGAGAGCCCAAGCAATGCTCCTGGAAATAAAACCAAATCAAAATCAATCGACTGCTTTTAAGCAAAAAAACCTGCATCGCTCCATGCTCTAAAAGCATTGTACTACCTGCACAGTCTTGTGGCAAGCACTATTGCTCTTGTTCAGATCACCACAGTCTGGGGAATAAGCATGGCTTATAGGATATACATAATCCTTATGTTAGTTTTGGCCAAAGAAAAACATTCTTGACCCTCAAAACATCATCTCTTCAGACTCTGACAAGAGAAGCTTTTATGTGTGGATCTCCAGCTGCCAAAGCATCACCTCGGCGCCACTCACCACCTTCTTCAGACCCACAATACCCAACACTTCAGAGGCATTTTGTTCAGCCTAGTGCCACAGGGGATGTCACAGAAGAGAGATGTGCAATGTTTCTACTTTGCAGGTGTTATTATGCCCATCATTTCTAAAAGACGCACCTACTGCTAAGACCAGAATGAAAGGTCTTCTCCTCCCAAATCTTGATGTGCATCTGTCACTCCAGGCCCCCAGCAAAGGCTGTAGCAAGAACCCTAGAAAAAAGGAATCACCAATAAATAGCATTTTTCTACAAGCCTGTTTCATGGGGGAGTTAAAATAGGTAGCTTAAAAGGCAGTTAAAGGCAGGACACCATGGCATAGTGATATCCTCAGTCAGTACTAGTCACCCAGGTGCACACACAGCGTACTTCCTGGCATTTCACAGGTCGGGGACTGAATAACGTAATGTGCTGCTGCTCACTGTCATGGCAGTTCACTCTGCATCGTTAATACAGCAGAATTTGCCATCAGGCGAAGAGTAAGAGTACAACAGTTTTACGTTCTAAAGGACTCTGTTCCTTACAAGCTATTTCATTTACCCCGTCTTAGATGGGAGATCCCCTGCAGAATTAGCTTGGAAGATAGCAGGAAGCAAACATGTGAGTTGGAAAAATGCCTGCATTAGTCTAGGCCAGCCTGTGAGTAGGAGCCTATCTACTCTCTTCTTCTGAAGCACATCTCGCAAGTACAAGAACACACGGAACAAAGTTTCCAAGTGGAAATAGCCCATCCTATGGTTCTTCCCATAGTAATGCATACGGTCCCAGCCCTGCCTCCATGCTAAGGCAAGTAATCCAATGGCCGTAACAGCAGTAGTCGACGGTCTTTCATCATTGGAACACCTCGTTTGTTTCAGAAAGTTAAATAGGAGAAGGCAGTCCCACTCTGTTTTTTTTAATACACCCTGGGAACTGTCTCTGTATGCTTTTTTTCATACGGACATAAATGGATACACTGATCTTCTTTTGCTGGTTTCTAAATATAGTAACGGAGTAACCAAAGCTTACCCTCGCACAAGATGTAAGAGGATGAGAAGCCATTAAAAGAACAGACATTTTGAACACACCAGGCCCATTTCAGGCAAGACACAGCAAGAATTATTCTCCATTCAGTTGTCTAAAATTATGGCTAGTGCTTCTTAACCTCGAGAGCACAAAGAATATGCTTGTGAACAGCTGAGGTAGAGAAAACAAAAACATATAACCCCCATGTAGTGGAAAAAACAAGAGGGAAGAAATAGTGTAAAGAAAAGTTACCTAATATAGGGCTGATGAACCACACCATTCCATACAGTTGGTCTGGAAGCCCCATCTGAAGCAGCACAGGGGTAACATAGGCTGTTTCCATGGCATAGCTGAACTCGAGCCCAAAGAGAATGCACCCATTAAACAGGAGTTCTAGGAAAGACCTCTGAGGCTGGAGATCCCCAAAGTCAATCAAATCAATAGGACATGGAGTATTTGGTGGTGGTGGCGGCGAAGGGCGGATGTGTTTTCTCCTTTTCGGATGTCTCTTGAAGTTATTGGCCCGATGACTTATGTGCCGCGTGACTGATCCAGAATAGCCTGGAACTTGTGACCTCCAGATTTCCTGAGAAGCCACGCTTGGTAAGAGTGCAGCATCACTGACAGGGGTTGTTGCAGATGGTGGAATCATCATGGGTAGGCGTCTGGAAGAAAAATAGCTCAGAATAAAATGGTTGAGTAAGAAAAACTTTACTTAATTTCATTTACTGAAGTTCAAGCCATTTCTCAACATTTCACATACTGAGTGCAGCCTTCATATTACCTACAACCTTTTCTCTCCATCTCTTGATACGAGGCATATATGTTTTATGGGCATGTCTCCTCCATCTTTGCACAAATGAGACACCTGAGATCCTATCTTGGTTACCTAGGTATTGCCTACCAACATTGGGGATTAAGATTGAAATATTTAAAACAATTAGTAGTCAGACACATCACACTTCCCAGGAGTTCCTGTAACAGCAATGGGTTTATGTTTAGCTGCAATTCATTCGAGCTAAAGTAAGATGAATCATGACCTCAGTCTAAGTTTACAATAAAGCAAAGCTGTGGCTTGGCTGCAGATCCAGACCCCTGCTGCAATGTGAAATCACCTTTCAGTACTGATCCTACCATTCCTGCTGCCTGTGCTGAGGCCAAGGCTTAATGCAAAACTTTTTTTTGCAATGAGTGAGCTTGGTTTTCTTCCTATTTATATTCCTGAATTCAGCAGAGACACTGTGTTGCAAGGACAGGGTCTGATTGTCTGCTTCCTGCTGGTTCTATTTCCATAAGACTTTACCGGAGCACCCAAAGAATGTGTTTTTGAAGTTCAGACTACACAAGTTGAACACCTGGATGAGGTCAGCTGACAACAAATATGCTTGGAACCAGATGTTGATACCATTTTTCAGTGCAGGAATTGGAAGTTTCAAACTAATTCCTGAGAAGAAGATACATACCCCACAAGCCACCCTCAGCACTTCTACTCCTCTCTCAGAGATTAATGGCATTCAAGTGCTGAATAGCCTCCTCGGGTCTCACCAGAATCACTCCTGTAGCCAAAGTGTACATACTGTGGTGGGTAAAACAGCCAAACAGGTTCCAAAATAGCATCTCAGGATAGATGCTGACAGATCTGCTGAATTAACGAACCACATGTGATTTCTTGCCTCTTGTTGCTAGAAATGGAAACAGCTCGTAAGTGAAATCTGGCCTTTTCTTTATGCTTTCTTGCCCACAGACCAAAGGCTGCTGCTGCACAAGGATAGTTCCACATCACCCCATGCCTCTTTAGGAAAACCCTCACAGCTGCACACTAGTAAGCAAAATAAATCTCTTACTTTTTTGTTTACAGTTCCCCCGGGGAAAAGACTCCCAGCTGTTCTGCTACTTTGGCTGTACAGAACTCCCACAAGTCTCCTGTTTTCTGCTGCTTCCTCCAGTGCATTTCACACACCTGTCTTTCTTCCTGTAGCCATCAGTCTACACAACGCCATTCTTTGCTGCATATCCCCAACTATTATCAAAAGCAGAATTCTGTAAAACCATGTTTACCATCATGCTGATGCAACAGTTGTTAAGCATGGTGGGATGATGCCCTACACAGAATGATCCCCAGCTCCACGCAAGCATCCAAAGAGAGACATTGCACAATACAAAATTGAATGCCAAGCACCTCACAAAAGACTGCAGTTGGGGTAACTTGACTGTATTTGGGGCCTGAGGGGGAGAAGGAAGGGTGGGAGAGAAAAGACATCTACTGAAATATTGCCAACATCGTACCACAGGTTTCATCAAGACTGCTCCTCTTCAGACCAAGATGCATACCACCTAAGAGAGAAGAAGAAGCAACTCGTAACTGTAACTACGCGCCTTGACAACCCCCATTTCACAAGGCACCAACAGCAGGATGCATTTTGTTGGGAAAGCTCATTAGACACAAAGTCCCCTAGATAGACCAACAGAAGGAGAAGCGTATGGAGACTTTGTGAAGATGCCTGCACTGGTGTTCCCCTTGACACTGTTTCCACAAATTACTGAAAACTTCTTATGACCTATGTCTTTCATAAGCAGAGTACTTACTTTGCAGGAGTACCTTTATCAGCCTTCAGGTGAAAGTAATTCCCTCATGATGAGAATTTGTTAAAAATTAGGAGACAGATGCCAGAAAAAAGATGTAACGAAAACCCAGTCAGATTCACGACAGATGCTCTAACGACCCTTTCACAGAAACATGACAATACAACTGTGCTAGCACTCCCCTTCACGACTGATACACCTCGCCATCTACACCCGGGGCGTTGACCTCCCTATATTCATCTATTAGTTTCATTTCATACCAGATCCTCCTTTATCTTCCTGCTCTGTACTGTACGTTACAAAGAGATTGTATCGTGAGTCGTAAGTGGCACTCTTACTTAAGAGACAGAAGGAAAGAACCCCTCTGCTTGGCTCAAAACTACGCATGGTGATCTGCAATTACTTGGAATGAAAAGCTATTATTGACAGCACATCAGCAGCCCAGCAGAAAGTCAGCGTAAAACTGTGAGCTGAGTTTATATTCCTCATCCCCCATTTTTCTCAACTTCTAAATCAATTGTTCATCAGAGGATGTCTTCAAAGGACCTCTTCAAAGGACTTAAGCCTGTCCTCAGCTGAATCTACCCTGTGATCACAACAGCTTCAAAGCAGGAAATCTCTCCTTCAACATGGAAAACAATTACGTGGCTGTTAGCTTTCACTGCCAATAGCTATTTGCAACTTTTGGCACTCGACGTTTGTTATGCCAACAGCTGCGCATCTCAATCTGCAGGGCCTTGGCAACGCTGGCTCTGCCGCCTGCTATCTGCACAGTCAAACGTGTGCACACAGCCAACATGTGTGGCAAGCAGGGACCGGCCATCACCGTTCCTCCTGGGCACCTCTACGCCGAAAATGAGGTTTTCCTTCTTTGGCAGAATCTGGTCCCCCTTTTTTCGTGGTGGGTACAGAGGGCTCCAAACACATCCCAGACATCAGAGTTCCGGGGAAAGGTCGACCCTGACCCGGCGCGAGGGCCGCCGCCTCCCAAACGTTCGCGTCAGCCGAGAAGGAGCCGCGCTGCGTGCGCTGCG